GCACTTGTCGTGCACTTTTGTATATTTTTTGTGCACTGGCGCGCGGCGCTTGCGATCGACGGCCCACTGCCACATTGGCCTGTTGACCCCAGGGCGACGGTCTCACTGCCAGCATAGAGGATGGTCGCCTGCAAGTACTGGGAGTGGTCGCCCTGCCACTTCTTGGGCTGGTCGCCCGACAGTTTTTCGGGCGGTCGCCGAATTGTGGGGTTGGCCGCCCGCCAGCCGCTGGGATGGTCGAGTTGCCGATTCTTGGATTGGCCGCCCGCCGACAGTTGGAGTAGTGGCCCGCCAAGTGAGGTCGCGCGCGTCGACGGGGTGGCGACGGCGGCCGCGTGGCCGCCAGACCGAAGACACGGTCCAGACGACGTGGCGGCGGCGGGGCGGCGACGGGGCGGCGGCGGCGGCGGCCGCCACACAGCCGCCAACATAAGCCACGTCCCCGTTGCTCAAAACAGACGCGAGACACCCCCAAGTGTAAACACTGCTTGGGAAGTCTATAGGTGCATGTGTGTATACAGATGTATGTATATACCTATATATATATATATATATAGATATATGCATATTGTTGTAGAGACACGGCGACTCACCAAACCGTGTGCATGCACGCGTACCGCATGGTGTGCGCATACACATATATGTATACATATATGTATAGGGGTAGGTATGCATTCATGTATGTATATGTGTGTTTATACATATGTATATATATATATATATGCGTGTGTTCATATATGTATGCTGGGGTATATGTGTATATATGCAGGTATGCACACATGTTTTTATGTATATATATATAGGCACATGGACGCATTTATGTATAGACATGCGTATAAACAGACCGGTATGTGTGTATGTATATATATATATATATATATATATATCCGTGCGCGCATACATGTGGCACGTGCATGCCCAAGCTCATTCAAACATTAACTACAGCACGCCTGCATCGCATCACATGGACAAGAAGATCCACATGAAATCGGATATGCAGAGGAGGAGGAAGGATATGGCGTTGCAGAGGATTCAGGAGAGAAGGAGGATCATGAGGATCCCCAGGGATCTTTTGGGAAGGAGGTGCAGCAACGGGATCGCAGTCGAATGACGGTGGAGTTGCCACACCTTGCGATGTGTGTGGCGCAGAAGGGTGTTCCGCACCCTACGACTATATGCTCAGAAACACTGTTGGTTGCGGATGTCCTGAGCGAAACTGCCATTTTGAAAAAACTACCTGGGGAACTTTGAATTCGTCGTGTGTCAATGTTGGCAGGATGTCTCACGCGAAACGGTTGTTTCTCTGAAAGCGACTTCCAACATCATTGACATACATGGTGTTTTCAAAGGTTCGATTGTAACATGTTGAACATCCATTGCTTTTTTTGGACCGTGACGCCGCGATTTGCGTGAGGGGTGCGCCGTGATTTCAGACTGTCGGAATTTCCAAAGCGAAGCGGCCACAAACATCTCGGACAGGACGGGACCCTCAATGAATTGTCTCTGCACTCTATTCCCTCAGAGAGAGGTGCACATACTGATATAACGATATCATGATATATATATATATATATATATATATATATATATATATAGATATATGCATGTTTATATGTATGTATGCATGCATGCATATATGTATGTGTGAAGACATGTATGTATGTATGTACGTACGTATGTATGTATGGATTTGTGTATGTAGACATGCTTGCATGCATTTATGTGTGTATGTATGAATAATTGTACGAATGCATGTATGTATGTATGTATGTATGTATGTATGTATGTATGCACACGGACATGGTTAGTCTTTCTCTCTCTCTCTCTCTCAACATATATGAAGGTATATATATGTATGTATACACGTGTGTATTAGGTACACCTCTTTCTCTGGGCAGGGATGGATGGATGGAGTAAGGGAGGGAGGGAGGGAGGGAGGAGGGAGGAAAAGGAGGGGGAGGAGTAATAGCAGCAACCGCGGCCAGAACAATGGCAGGAGCAGGGGTGGGAGCAGGAGAAGGACGAGGCCGGGGCCCGGCCCACGCGGCCCAGTTTCTGGCCCTTGCTTGCTGTGCAACGTCGCGTCGGGCCGCGCCGCGCGCCGTTTGTCCACCGGTCGAAGGGAGGGGGGGTCATGCTGGGGACGGGGTCCACACCGTGCGGTGACCACACCGTGCGGTGAGTCGGTGGGGATTCGGGCTCACCGCACGGTTTTGGGACTCGGGTCGTTCTCCGAGGACGTCTCGGGCGACGGGGGCCTCCGGGGTCCCAAAACCGTGCGGTGACGGACCGTGCGGTGAGGTCTGGGGGGATTTCGAGGTCACCGCACGGTCCGTCACCGCACCGTTTGGGGACTCCAAAGGGGAGCAGCAGGGGGAGGCATGCGAGCGCGCGCGCGCCCGCTGGCGCGGGCGCGGACTTGGGGTGGCTGCGTGGCGCTGCGGCAGGCCAAGGAGGAACTCGGGAGGGCAGGGAGGGAGCTACTCATGGGGGCAGGGCAAAGGAGGAGGAGGAGCACGAGGAGGAGCAGGAGGGGGGAACTGGAGACTGGAAAGAGTAACGACACAGGAGGAACACATGATGATGTCTGCCAAGGTGTTGGCTGCTGTTGACGATTACGGGTTTCGGTCAGGTCCACGGTGATGATGTTGATGACGTTAATGATGACGATGATGATGCTGATGGTGATGATGATGACGATGATGATGATAAGCATTATGGTGGCGACGACGGCGTCGATGATGGTGATGGTAATAGTGGTGGTGGTTCTGATGATGCGATGATGGCGGTGCTGGTAATGATGAAGATGATAATGATATAGATGTTGCTGCTGTTGAATATGGTGGTTACGCTGGTGTTGGTGACGATTGCGATTGCAATTGTGATCGTCGCTGTTGGTGGTTGTGGCGATGCAGGCTGATGGCGGTGACGATGACGGTAGCGTTGGTGATTCCGGTGATGGAGATGATGGTGATGGTGATAGTGATGGTGTTTGTGATGGTGGCGACGGTGATTACGATACCAAGCATCAACATGTTGATGTTGCCGATTGTGATGTTCGGGGCAACGATTGTGGTGATAACCGATTATTGGACGTTCGGATTATGCCGATGTTATGGCTGCTCGTGGTGTTATCCAGCCGTCTGTGGCAACCATCGCAACCGTCTTAGCGTAACAGCACACATATGTTTTGAGTTTCGCCTCCGCTCAAGTCCAGACAGTTTGTCAAGTCGCAGCAGGTCTTGGAGACCCCGCCCTGTCCATCTTGATCGACTCGCATCCCCTTCCTTCCTTCCCTCTCCCCTGTTATCCCTCTTGCAGGCATCTTGAAGCTTTCTTGTTCTCTGGGGCCTGGTGGGCTTTCCTGAGGGCCCCTGGGAGCCTCTTGGAGCTCTCTTGGGGGTCATCGGGTGCCTCTTGGTGCCCCTTGGGCGCGTCGGCCTTTTGGGATCACGTTGGGGGTCGGGGGGGACATCTTGGAGGGAACTGCTCCCAAATCTGGTGCGAGCTGCCCGGTCTTTTGAGTGGGCCGGGGGGGAGATCATGGCCGGACCCATGACATAGCCTTGGATCTTGTGGCCCCCCTCCCCGCGGCCGCGCAACTACTTCGGGCTATGGTCTGCGAACCCCTGTCTTGGACGCGCCCTTATTGAATGCCCCCGAGGATTGCAGGGGGCGCCGGGGGCGCCTGTTTCAGAGCCTTTTTCAGCGCAAACTGAGCGCTGGTGCGCGCCAGAGGATCGCAGGCAGGCCTGCCCCCCCCCAAGCACACTGGCCTGGGCCAAAGCTAGGAGGAGGAGGAGGAGGAGGCGGAGGAGGAGGAGGAGGAGGAGGAGGCGGAGGAGGCGGAGGAGGCGGAGGAGGAGGAGGAGGAGGAGGAGGGGGAGGATTAGGAGGAGGAGGAGGAGGGAGAGGATTAGGATGAGGAGGAGGAGGAGGAGGAGGAGGTGGAGGAGGCGGAGGAGGACGAGGACGTGGACGAGCACGAGGAGGAGGAGGAGGAGGAGGAGGAAAAAGAGGAGGAGGAGGAGGTGGAGGAGGTTAGATAGATGAACGGACGGGTGGAACAGCCCCCAGGGGAAGTTCTCGCAAGAAACAACATACATCAGGGTGCGGTGGTCATCATGACCTTTTTGCTCGTCCCACACGGGTGTCCGACGGGCACCACGACAGCCCAGTGTAACCAATCGGTCATGACTCTCGGGCCCTCTCCTCGCGGAGTCGGATGCGCTCCTTGAAGCTGGAATCGGGTGCCATTGCGCGCGGCACTGACGTACGCACCAGTGGCCTGGGCGACGGGACAAAAGGTCCCCGACCGCCGACGACTTCTCAGTGAACTGCCTGGCTCGGTTGCTGGGCCCCGGGCCGCGGTGGTATTTCCGGAGCAGTTCGATGCGTTTTCCGCGAGGGCCGCCCGCACGCACGACTGAGTGAGGAGTGAGGAGTGAGGAGTGAGGAGGGAGGAGGGAGGAGGGAGGGAGGGAGGGAGAGAGGGAGGAGGAGAGGGAGGAGAGGGAGGAGAGGGAGGAGGAGGCAGGAGGAGGGAGGAGGAGGGAAGAGGAGGGAGGAGAGGGAGTCCTCGAGCGCGCTGTCGGGCGCAGCTCCCAACACGAGCGCACTGGGACTGCGAGACGGGCCCGTGGGCCGACTTCGAGCGGGTGCCCCGCGGGGGATCTCGGAGGTGCGGGCAGCCCCGAGGACGTGACCCAGGGGACGACGGGGGAGGTCCTGGGGCACCCCAGGGCGTGGCTTTCACCGTCGGATGGCTCCATTCAGAAGCAGCATTTGCATTGACGACCATGGGGGCCATCGTGAAACCTTTGCCGTCCTGAGGTCCGCTTCAGAAAACGGGGAGCGGCAGACGGGCGCTCGCGACGAGAAGGAGGAGGAGGAGGAGGAGGAGGAGGAGGAGGAGGGGGATGGGAGGAATGGGCAGGAAGAGGAGGAGTGGTGGGTCACGTTCCTGAGTTTTTTTTGCAGCAGTGTGCAGTTCGGCTCAG